TTTATTTTTTTGAAATAAGGGTGGGATTGCTACCCCTTCCGAGGGTCCTAAGCGATTCTTCTTTTGGCCAGTAACTGCTTGCATTAAAATGTATACTTGGTATTAATCCCAACTTGATATCTCATTTTTAAGTGCGTCAAATATTTATTTTTTTGAAATAAGGGTGGGATTGCTACCCTTTCCGAGGGTCCTAAGCGATTCTTCTTTTGACCAGTAACTGCTTGCATTAAAATGTATACTTGGTATTAATCCCAACTTGATATCTCATTTTTAAGTGTGTCAAATATTAATTTTTTTGAAATAAGGGTGGGATTGCTACCCCTTCCGAGGGTCCTAAGCGATTCTTCTTTTGGCCAGTAACTCCTTGCATTAAAATGTATACTTGGTATTAATCCCAACTTGATATCTCATTTTTAAGTGCGTCAAATATTTATTTTTTTGAAATAAGGGTGGGATTGCTACCCCTTCCGAGGGTCCTAAGCGATTCTTCTTTTGGCCAGTAACTCCTTGCATTAAAATGTATACTTGGTATTAATCCCAACTTGATATCTCATTTTTAAGTGCGTCAAATATTTATTTTTTTGAAATAAGGGTGGGATTGCTACCCCTTCCGAGGGTCCTAAGCGATTCTTCTTTTGGCCAGTAACTGCTTGCATTAAAATGTATACTTGGTATTAATCCCAACTTGATATCTCATTTTTAAGTGTGTCAAATATTATTTTTTTTGAAATAAGGGTGGGATTGCTACCCCTTCCGAGGGTCCTAAGCGATTCTTCTTTTGGCCAGTAACTGCTTGCATTAAAATGTATACTTGGTATTAATCCCAACTTGATATCTAATTTTTAAGTGCGTCAAATATTTATTTTTTTGAAATAAGGGTGGGATTGCTACCCCTTCCGAGGGTCCTAAGCGATTCTTCTTTTGACCAGTAACTGCTTGCATTAAAATGTATACTTGGTATTAATCCCAACTTGATATCTCATTTTTAAGTGTGTCAAATATTAATTTTTTTGAAATAAGGGTGGGATTGCTACCCCTTCCGAGGGTCCTAAGCGATTCTTCTTTTGGCCAGTAACTGCTTGCATTAAAATGTATACTTGGTATTAATCCCAACTTGATATCTCATTTTTAAGTGCGTTAAATATTTATTTTTTTGAAATAAGGGTGGGATTGCTACCCTTTTCGAGGGTCCTAAGCGATTCTTCTTTTGACCAGTAACTGCTTGCATTAAAATGTATACTTGGTATTAATCCCAACTTGATATCTCATTTTTAAGTGTGTCAAATATTAATTTTTTTGAAATAAGGGTGGGATTGCTACCCCTTCCGAGGGTCCTAAGCGATTCTTCTTTTGGCCAGTAACTCCTTGCATTAAAATGTATACTTGGTATTAATCCCAACTTGATATCTCATTTTTAAGTGCGTCAAATATTTATTTTTTTGAAATAAGGGTGGGATTGCTACCCCTTCCGAGGGTCCTAAGCGATTCTTCTTTTGGCCAGTAACTGCTTGCATTAAAATGTATACTTGGTATTAATCCCAACTTGATATCTCATTTTTAAGTGCGTCAAATATTTATTTTTTTGAAATAAGGGTGGGATTGCTACCCTTTCCGAGGGTCCTAAGCGATTCTTCTTTTGACCAGTAACTGCTTGCATTAAAATGTATACTTGGTATTAATCCCAACTTGATATCTCATTTTTAAGTGTGTCAAATATTAATTTTTTTGAAATAAGGGTGGGATTGCTACCCCTTCCGAGGGTCCTAAGCGATTCTTCTTTTGGCCAGTAACTGCTTGCATTAAAATGTATACTTGGTATTAATCCCAACTTGATATCTCATTTTTAAGTGCGTCAAATATTTATTTTTTTGAAATAAGGGTGGGATTGCTACCCCTTCCGAGGGTCCTAAGCGATTTTTCTTTTGGCCAGTAACTGCTTGCATTAAAATGTATACTTGGTATTAATCCCAACTTGATATCTCATTTTTAAGTGCGTCAAATATTTATTTTTTTGAAATAAGGGTGGGATTGCTACCCTTTCCGAGGGTCCTAAGCGATTCTTCTTTTGACCAGTAACTGCTTGCATTAAAATGTATACTTGGTATTAATCCCAACTTGATATCTCATTTTTAAGTGTGTCAAATATTAATTTTTTTGAAATAAGGGTGGGATTGCTACCCCTTCCGAGGGTCCTAAGCGATTCTTCTTTTGGCCAGTAACTGCTTGCATTAAAATGTATACTTGGTATTAATCCCAACTTGATATCTCATTTTTAAGTGCGTCAAATATTTATTTTTTTGAAATAAGGGTGGGATTGCTACCCCTTCCGAGGGTCCTAAGCGATTTTTCTTTTGGCCAGTAACTGCTTGCATTAAAATGTATACTTGGTATTAATCCCAACTTGATATCTCATTTTTAAGTGTGTCAAATATTATTTTTTTTGAAATAAGGGTGGGATTGCTACCCCTTCCGAGGGTCCTAAGCAATTCTTCTTTTGGCCAGTAACTGCTTGCATTAAAATGTATACTTGGTATTAATCCCAACTTGATATCTCATTTTTAAGTGCGTCAAATATTTATTTTTTTGAAATAAGGGTGGGATTGCTACCCTTTCCGAGGGTCCTAAGCGATTCTTCTTTTGACCAGTAACTGCTTGCATTAAAATGTATACTTGGTATTAATCCCAACTTGATATCTCATTTTTAAGTGCGTCAAATATTTATTTTTTTGAAATAAGGGTGGGATTGCTACCCCTTCCGAGGGTCCTAAGCGATTCTTCTTTTGGCCATTAACTGCTTGCATTAAAAGGTATACTTGGTATTTATCCCAACTTGATATCTCATTTTTAAGTGCGTCAAATATTTATTTTTTTGAAATAAGGGTGGGATTTCTACCCCTTCCGAGGGTCCTAAGCGATTCTTCTTTTGGCCAGTAACCGCTTGCATTAAAATGTATACTTGGTATTAATCCCAACTTGATATCTCATTTTTAAGTGCGTCAAATATTTATTTTTTGAAATGGGGGTGCGATTGCTACCTCTTTCGAGGGTTCTAAGCGAATCTGCTTTTGGCCAGTAACTATTTGTATTAAAACTTATACGTGGTATCAATTCTGCTTTGATATATTTGATATATTTTTAATAATTTGAATATTAAGAAATTTTATTATGAATGTATTATTTTTCATGTATTTATTTTTTTTATTTATTTATATAAGGAAAGTAACATTTAAAATACAAACGACCTCAGTTTTCAATTAACACATAAAATTGAAATAAACGTACGTATTGCCCTTTTTAACGGGCCACTGTATTGTTCGTGCCTACTCGGTAAACGGGCTACCAACTTCACACCGGTAAAGCGACACAGCAAGTAGTACAGCATTTATGTGAACATTGAAGGCATATGGGTTTATGACACTTCGCGCACGTGAATGCTGTTTTTCTTCTTATTCTGGAATGGCATATGTAGCAATATTTTTTCGTTTCAAGCGGCCTTCTGGAACCGGAAGTGCTACTTCCAAAATGTCCAAAATGTGACGTATAGAACATTTCAGTTCGCGTGGTATGTTGGACGTTTGTAATCTATTGCGCATATGGCCTTCTACCAGTTGACTGGCTAATTTTTTTACAAAATTAAAACGTGTTTCATTATTGTCTAGAAATGAGGAGTACAAAATATAGGAATTTGCATTGCAGATATCCAGAACTGGATGCGACACGGACGTTTCTTGTAGGTTCATCCATACTCCATTTACATCTATTTTTTCCATAGAAATAATTTTTTTTGCGCGTTTTTGATCTTGTTTTTCTTCTTCTTCACTGCTCGAATTAATAACTTCACTTCCATCAACATTCAGATTGTTTGGTATATAGTTGTTATCACTTAGTTCTATTTCAGATGTACTGTGATCACTTGCTGTATAAACACTTGCCTTGGCTTCAATATAACTATTATCACTTTCTAGCTCATTGTACCATTGCATGACGTTTTTGTCAAAGCCTTTATCAAAAAATCTTACTGCGTAATTGTAGCGTTAATACTGACACAGAGTCTTAGAGACTCCTTACATAATATACATAATATAACTCGAACTAATTTATTCAGTCAATTCTGCTTGTGCAGTATGTTACAGAACACTAATGTTTAGGAAGGTACTCAAGGTAGCAGCGATGTGAAAAAATAATGGAGGGACTAAGAAGGTAAATCAGGTACGAGGTAGTCTAGTAGACTCCGTGTCAGTAGTTAAGGGTTAGAAGGGTTGGAACATTTATTAAGTCTAGAATTATGGAATAATATGTACTTGCAATTAGACCAAGTTTAAAGGCCCAATATCTTAGATTTTTATTTCTTTTACATAGTTGTCTCGGTTGTTGTAAAATGGACACATGTGGTAGCCCTGTACTCCAAAATAGACTAAACATATGCAAGTGCCTAAAGATAGCGAGCTAGTTTCTTATCAACATGCCTAACATTTCCGTTGCCCTATTAACTATTTGATTATATGATTACTAAAAGAAATATCAAAGCAAAATATGATTCCCAGGTCTTTAATTTAGTAATTAATGTATAGTTATCCAGAATCCAGACAATAGTTATGCATTATTTAATTATGATTTTTTGTAAAAGTAATGCAGTAACACTCCCTACTGTTTAGGGTTAAATTATTAGAGGAAGATCATTCACATAAGGAATGAAAATCTTTTTCAAGTGTATTACAATCACTATTGTTGATAAACATGCAGCAGATAATGACATTCAAAAACAGATTCAACATCATTATAATAAATTAAAATTTAAAGGTACTAAGTGGCCCCCATGTGGTACACCAGAATAAACTTCTATGGGATCTGACAAATAATTCTTTATCTTGACTTACTGCAGTCTACCAGAATAACATAATTTTTAACTACTGAAATACTCACATTTTTTAATAAAATTGCTTGGTAAGAAGTAAAAGCAGTAAATATGAAATGCATATAAAAATTAATGATTTGTTTACCTCTATCATACATTTTCCTAGTTTTGACATTCCCCAAAACTTCATAAGCTTCAGTGATAGCTCTAAACTTCTGAAGAGATGCTTCATCCTTATTTTTGTCAGGATGATAAACCATTGATAACTTGTAATATGCAGCTTTTATTTCATTCTGAGTAGCTTTGGGAGTTATTCCCAAAGAATCATAGTGATTTATAGTTCTAACAGTTGCCATGTACCGTAGTCGATTAGAAAAAAAATTAAAGTATCTTGATAACCCCATGATGGTCTTAGTACATGGTTTATAATTTTGAAATTTAGTTATTTTAGTATAGATTTCATTTTTATTAATCGATATGGAAATGAAGTATGGGGATAGTATAATTTTATTTTGTTAATATGACCACAATATGATGAATTACATCACTATTACCTATCACATGTACATACTTCAAGTTCAATTTCGTTTGACACATGGAGGAAGGAGGTTTGAAGACGCGGCTAAACAGAGTACGAGGCACGGCGCACTATAAAGGTGTTTCAACTCCCTGAAAAAAACATACCAAAACCGGTCGTACTTCCTAGCCAAAATCCGCTAGGTTCGCTAGTGTCGTTACGGCGGAAAATGCGGCAATCTTTTTATCTGTCAGAAAAAGTGCAATCATAAAAATAGTTCTTCTATGGTGAAAATTCGAGTTTATATGAAATGAAAAATGACAAAACTATCAGAAGAAGTACAGATGAAAAAATTAATGGTCAACAAATAAGTTTATTGTTATTGATGGTTGCTTATAAGTGTTTTTTTTTTTTAAAGAAGCTACACTGATGTGTGCGTTTATACGATCAAAAAAAGTGTTCAAGATTTAATAAATATGCTCCAATTAAGTTACAAGTTGCTGCCAGAGACTTGCTACTAAATAAGTTAAATGAGGGTGTTTATAAAAAACAGCTGATTTTGTTTCGTGTTCAAATATTACCTTTGGTTTTGGCAAAAACAGCAATACAGTGGGTTACTGATTATAAAATGAAGAAGTGGACCTTAACTATGGTACTCAGATTGAAGCTTATTATTTTTAAAGTGAGTTTTGTGATTTTCATTGCCCAGATTAAAGATATTCAATAAACATTTAGTTTTATACCTACTATAATCAAATCCATACATAGTGATTGGAATTACAAACATTTCTGTGAAATAGGTAGCATTATACCAGAATAATGAAGTCTCACTGGACTGGAGTATATATGTTTCCAAAGATCAGTAAGTACCTATATCAATTATTATTATTTTTATTAATAAGTATCAGTAATAAATACATCTCAAAGAATAACAAGGTTGTAACTGTACTTTTTGGAAAAAATGAGATTGGTAGAATATATTAATTTGTTTTTGTGACCAATATGTTCATCTGTTAATTATCAATGTTGTGTTATCGAAGCACTAAAGTTATTCACATGGTTCTATCTGCAGGTACATAGAACTTATACAGTTTTTAGCAAGTGTCATTATAGTAGTTATATCTTTGTTATTCCCTAGCAAATGTAGTCTCCATCCTCCACAATTATATTAAGATTAAAGGCCAGGTTTTTACCTCTGAATAAAGTTGAAAGTAACTACTTGCTGATTAGGCTATAGATTATACTTATGCGTAACTTTACTCAGAGGTTAAAAAATCTGCCATTAAAAGAACAGTGAGTTTTAGAGCATAAACAGTATTAAATATAATGGGTATTTTTTTATTAAACTTTTTGTTTTTAAACAGTTTTGATTGAAAATTATAAAAAAAATGATAGAGGATACCTAGAAAGATTTATAATATAAAACAACATTTAAAAATTCTGAATTAACAAAAGTATGTATTTTTTGTTCCAAGCTTTGTCTCTGTTACCTAAACTAAATACTAGAAACACAGTTTTAACTGGCAGTTACTACTATGCTTTATCAAATATTCTAAAAAATGTAGGTCGCTTAGTTCTTTCTGAATTTTTTATCACTTAAGATTTTCTCTTAAATTAGAGTTAGAAACACAATGAAAATCAAACAAGTTAATGGCTATACAAACTTCAACTCCAAAAAATAACTACCTGTCTAGATACAATCTTGTTATCCTAATATGACAGATGTAGAAGATTTATACAAATGTGAAAAACATTTTTCGTTCTGCAATGCTAGATGAAATCTTTAATTAGGCATCAAATTTTTAAAATGTTAGAGATAGTATGTATATAGGGAAAATAAAAAATATAATTATAATTAAGAGTAAGAACTTTTAAATTTTAATATAACTAGAACAAAATATTCAGTAATTAAAAATTTTGATAGGAATTAAAAATTTGCTCGAGTATAAATGTTGTGCTTGTTTTTAAGTGGTTTCGATTTACTTTAGGTTTGTTCCAACAATGCTCAGAAATGAGTTACTGACATCAGGATTCTGCACAGTTTATTGAGACTGCAAAATTGTGTACTACCCAGTGGTTCGTTTCTGATCGTTGGAACAGACCTTTTATTCAATAAATAATCGAACAAGTTAAATGTGTATTTGGAATTTTTTTAATTTTACAAATTCTTGTTCATTTAATAAAGATGCTTTTTTGTATATGGGGTGATAATTTTTAAGCAGAGGCGTGCAGCACCCACAAGATCACTGCCAGAATTAATTCAAATGGGTAATCTAAAAATATGGAGTAGGTTCCCTGCACAAGATTTTCAAGAACTTGTAAATACAATGTTTTAATGAATTATTGCCGTTATCAAAGTTAAAGGTGATGAAACACTCATGAAAATTTGTAAATATTTAACCCTTTCAGTGTATTTGTCCCTCCAGAGGGACACTGTCTTAATTAACCCTGAAGTATACATCTGTTAATTTTGGTAGAATGTTTTTCTTTTTGGTTTATTTACTTTATTTGCATTACTTTCAAAGATTAATATTTAAAAAAATTTATTTTCATAGTAAATTTTTGTTTTTGTAATGTCCCTGAACAGGGACGTTATGTCTTGGAGTAATAAAAAATACTATGAAAATATTTTAATTTACTTAAAATAAACAAAGAAAACATACAATCTACTACAATGGTATATTTTTTAATGAAAGTGGAAGTGAAAGGGTTAAAAAAATAAAAGAATTTATCAGATTTATGTATGATTTGTTCTTGTAGTGACAGTCACTATAAATATGAGAAGTGTGCTAATTGAAACGGGACAGGGCTCATATAGTTTTATTTAAAAAGTAAACCTTGTCATTAATTAAATATAAATGATTATTATATTATTGAAATATATAATGTAAAACAAATTGTTGTAATGTTTTTCTGAAATCAGAAGTGTTGTCAGGTTTGTTACTGTCTGCTGCTAACTGTGACGTGTACAAGCGAACATACTAAACCTACTTATTGAGTACATTAATATAAAAAACTCATAATAAATCTGGAAACTATACATTTGAAATTTTCCTACTTATTTTTTCATTACTGCTATTATCCAATAGAACAATTCCTATGCTTTTATTTAATATTTCATTTTCCACAAATAAATATAAAAAAATAATTAGTAAAATTATAAAATGAGTTCCAATTAAATAATGAACTATATTATTAATTGAAATTGTTAATATAAGAAATGAATAAATTAAGAAAATAAGTGTAATAATGGGAAATGTGTAAATTGTATTTATTTCTAATTTTAAATAATTTTGTGTGTATTGTTAATTTTCTTTCTAGTGTAAAATTAATAAATTAATAATTTTAACAAAAATTTAATGAGATGTTTTATTTGTGTTAGAATCCGAATACAATAAGAATGCTGCTGTCATAATGATTACTCTGAATTTCAAATACATAGTATCTATAACTTATCAATAAATAAATATTAAGTTGTTAGGTATAAAAAAATATTTCCTATATTCCTAAAAGATTAACACTTCACCTCCAGTGGATAACTTCGGTAACTGTATCAGCAATACTTTCCACATTCTCGTCTCCTTTGAGAAGTAGTCCCATCATAAGTAATAAAAGCAGGAACAGCATTTTTTAGGTAGTTTTTTTTATATTTGCACTGCACATTAAATAATGGTAATCTTATAATTGAAGGGTCTGGAAATGCACCATTCTTGTTCCGATAGTTGGAATCCTAACATATAGTTGCAAGGTTATATTTAATTATTTGGAACCAGGGAATAAGCATATTGAAATAACTTTTACTTTTTATCATGTATTTACCAATTTTTACATTGATTAAAAATAAAAAGAATCTGTAGATTTTCAAGTAATAGGATCGTTATTTTTAACTTCAAATTTGTGTCAAATTCTAGACTTCAGTGCGGAATGGTGTGAATATGCGGATTTCTAGACTCGTCAACTACAAGATAACCTTAAATAATTATTAGGTACATCAGAAAAAACATTGTTTAAATTATTAACCAGTGTATGTACACATTATTCAATACACAAATACCAACATCTACGACCCCAAACTACATTTATTTACTTAAAGGGATTAACTCCTATAAAAATACAGAATTGAAAAATCCTTAATATTTCTTACAACTCAAATTTGTATTAATTTAAAATCAGTACTTCTATAAAAACCTAGTAAATACATTTAAAGAACTGGAACAAAACACATTCGGGGATGATTATTATTAAACAAATGTATATTTAAACACTTGAAAATAAAAAGGCTACAAGTAAAATAAATTTATCATAGTATCTATTTGATTCTTATAACCAGATACAACTTTCTAGCATTATAATCAGGCTAAAAGGAATAAGTCAAAGATTTTATTTATTCGCAGGGTCAGAAAAATATCAAAAGAAATAGGTACCTTGTGTATATGAAATTTATACCATGAACACATTATAATAGGGTCCAAGTCATAACATTATTAGTACCAAGGGGACAGGATAAATAATACGAAATATTTATATAGTAAAACTTTATACTAATAATTATTTTTATTATAGAAAAGACAAAGTTGAATAACCTATTTACATAACCTACAATCATTTAAAACGTAGACATTAAACATATTTACTTGAAAAATAACGTTTCCTAGTAGATTTCTTAGCACTTTTTCACGAATAACATAATTTGCATTTAAATGTTTTTCACAAATGGAACTTTTGGGTTTAATGTTTATTTCCATACCTCCTAAATAATTGCACCATATTCTGTATAACTGTTTTTTGGCATTATAAAACTGCTATCAATATGTTGAAGACTCTCCCACAATCACAATTAAAAACAGCTCAACGATCCACCATGATTTATATATTTTAAGATTTTAAAAAATATTTATCTGTCAACACTTTTCAAATTGCAGCTCCTACCAACCTTCATCTTTTATTTACTTTCTCGCCGGATAGATACTAGCGAACCTAGCGGATTTTGGCTAGGAAGTACGATCGGTTTTATCGCCGTTTTCATTTGTTTTTAAATAGGAGTTGATACACCTTATAGTACACCGTGGTACGAGGTAACTAGTCCTACATGAAGTTAGCTATATCATGTGTCACCTATCA